GTGTGTTGCCCCTATTCTTGAGCCTCAGAACTATGCCCCTACTTCCCACATCCAAACTTAATTTCCTCACCCACAAAATATTAGGGAAAACTTATTCTCCAGGCTGGCATGCTCATTCTCACATCTGTTATTTCCATGTTCTATGTAGTGTTCCTGATCATTTTAAAGAGGGCATGAACTAATAGATGGCTATCTCCTTATGCCAAAAATCTAACTTGTTTAGTTTATTTTCACTTATCTAGGTTCAAGGTCTTGAACATATGTATGGTAGCTTGCTTTAGCTAAGGGTACGGCTAGACTACAGGCTTTTGTAGACAGAGGCTTTGCTGACAGATACTGTCGACAAAGCTTCTGTTGACAAAGAGCGTCTCGACTGCATCCAGTTCTGTAGACAAAGCAAGCCGCTTTGTCGACATGACAGTGTAGACGTAAAGGACATTGTAGATGCAATAACGCCTTCTATCGACAGAACTCTGTCGACAAAAGGTGTTATTCCTCATAGAATGAGGTTTACAGCTATCGACAAAACTGCTGAGTTCTGTCGACATTATGCCGACAGAACTCAGCGGCAGTGTAGACGCAGGTATAGTTTTGTCGACAAAAGTCCACTTTTGTTGACAAAAACCTGTAGTCTAGACACACCCTGAGTATACAGGAGGTGGATCTCTTGTCTTATAGATTTGTCTACAGTAGCTTTTGGCTATAAGTATATTAAAACAATCAAATCCATTAGAAAAGCAAGCAGATATACCTATGGGCTACACTCCCTACCCACCATTTGAGTCACCATTTGGTCTTAAGATCCAGTCCCCTTCCCCCACAGAACAGCCTAATAGAAATGAAGTGGTGAGTAAAGAAAATGAAGAGGGCGAAAAAAAGAGAGAGATGTAGAAAGAAAATTAAACACATTGTAGAGTTCTTAAACTTGGGCATAGAGAAATACAAAAGAGACAAATATTTTGAAGAATGAATGCTGAAAATTATAGTCTTCTAAGGAGTCATCATTTTACTTAGAATGGGTAAAACTCAATGAATTCAATTTTAGTTTGTATAAATTTGTCAGATCTTATCCCTGAACCTCTTTTGTTGAGAAACTGCACAGAAAATGTAAGCAGACAGAATGTTTAATGACAGTTCTAGTATGTCTTGACTTCAGCCACACTAGAATAGTATCTCTCTCATCCATTTGGCAAGTGCTGTTTAACAGAGATGCAAGAAAAGATGATTTGGCAAATTTAACCCAACTTTGACCCAGAACTAAAACTTCTATGGAGAAACAAAGTTGGATCAGTTCTTATTATATCTGAAGTGACTAAGTACCAATTCACTACAGCTATGTTTAGACTGCATAGTTTTTCTGCGATACAAAATATCCTGGAAAAGCTCTGGTGCATCCAGAGAATGCGTCTGCTTTTTCGGAACAGTTTCCAAAAAAGTGGGTGCATTTTTTCTACATCCCTGTATTCCTCTTGGTGAGAGGAATAAGGGATATTCCAAAAGAGGAGTTTTTTCCAAAATTTGGCCTCGTGTAGACTGGCCAAATTTTGGAAAAGCTACTTAAAAAAAAGTGGAAAAGATATGCAAATTGCAGTTTGCAATCTGCATGCCTTTTTTCTGATAAAACTCTATTGTCTAGACATAGGCTCCCCCTAGAAAATCATTTCCAATGAAAAAGGATGAAAGTGTTTTTAACACTTTCTTCTCCCTACGGGAATCCAAGAGTTAATGTCAAGCAATATTTCCAGCTGTGTGGTGGGAATTCACTTCTCTTTCATATATAATTCATATGAGAAAGTGTTTTACAAGTTTCATTTTGAGGTTCACTGGATGTTAAACTGTAATGTTATTTTCTTTAAAATTATTCAGTTAAGTTTTTCTTCCAATGATTTTTCTGGAAAGCATCATCAGAGGGACTTTTTTTCCTTTTATTTGCAATTAAGATAATGAATATAGTCACAAATTCTAAAATATGTTTGATGAAAACTTAAGAATAAAAGAAAGAGTTCCACAACACCTCCACATTAATGAACAAGACAGGTAGAAGCATTTGGAAGTGTGCATTATTTCATTTGCCTCATTATTTAAATGAAAGTGAAATGCTTATTGTGTATAACCAATTTGGCTAGATATTTATAAGCAGCTTAAAATAGTGATGACAGACTCCAGAGACTGAGACTTAGTTCAGCTAAGAACCACAAAATCCATATACCTATCCAGACTTCTCATAGATGATCTTCCTGATTCATCAAAATAGTGGTGAGCATAAGTACAGGCTCCCAAGAGATTTATCCTGTTTCCTGTTTTTGTTTGGTGAGAAAAGGACATGATACTAGCCTTTTACAAAATTTCAATTCCTTTACTTCAGACAGACCTAGAAAATGCAAAGTATAAACAAACATTTTTTTTAAATTAGTAAATCAAATAACATTTCTGGGTCACCCACTATTTGTCCTGGCCCCTGGAAAGAAAAAGTTAAAAGTGGAAATTTAAAAGAGATTTGGTAAAATATGAAAATAGCAGCTTAATTATCCAAATTAGTTTCTCCAGTCAAAATTATTTTTAACAGCTGCATTGTACTTCCATGATCAGAGTTTTACAGTCCTGCACTTATTTTATATATATGTCTCAGGAATTAAAAGTGGGTAGCATTACAGAAGAATGGCAATTTTCCAACCTGATTTTGATAGCCTTTTAAAATATAACTGTAAGTGTACAAAATTTTGCATTTTCATAGCTATTAATAATTTTATTCTTTCAGATATTTTCATAAAGTTCCATGAAAGTGCACATCTACGGGCAATATAATCCACAAAAAAAAGGATAACCACAAACAAAGAGCAACTACAAAGCCACAGCTGAGCAGGTGTTTTGTAGAAAGAAAAGCACAGTATATTTTTAAATGTGAAATACAGTAGAGGGCAATTCCTGTTCATAATAAATCAACACAAATGCTGGTTTTATCTTAGAAGATGCTTGCTTGAACAGTAAAAATGTCAACTGAATTTAAGCTAAAGAAGCAGATGCTTTAATGGACCGAAACAGCAGCCCTACCTATGAGAGGGAAAAAACACATTTCCCAGATTTTTTCTCTGCTTCTGGAACATGATTATTTAGGGGGGTTATTCCTTGCCTTTCCAGGGATGATGTAGAAGAGAAAGCACAGAGCATAACTCCATCATTACAGGTTGAAGCTCTGTAATTCAGACTTCCCTGGTCAACAGATGATGATCCAGCATCACTGGTGATCCCATGGGTGCTCTGTGTCTGGAGACCTGGCAGACTGTGACCAAAAGCATTGCCAGTCCAAGGAAGAATGGATCCCTGAAGGACACTGGGGCTGGCACCCCAGGGGCCAGAGCAGTGGAGCCTTGGTACTCCAAGGGCTGATGGCCGGGAATGGAGCTGGGCCAGTGGCCAGGACAGAGGGACTGGCATTGACTTTCTTTGGTTTGGCAAATTCCCTGGTTCAGGACCAGTTAATTCCTAAGGGTGTCAGGCCAGGGAAGTTCAACCTCTAGGTCAAGACTACTGAACTTTGGAAGCCCTGGGGGCCACAATGATACTTGCAGCACATGTTGAGGGCTGCAACTTAAGTGCAGTTGCATAAATGTGCAAATATATATGAAAATATATGCAAATAGCTTCTTTCACACTGATGGGCATGAGTACAAACATTAAACCTTAAGCCACAGCACCTCTCGGGCTCTGCCCACAAGGATAAGCAGCCAGCATTTTCCACAATGCCCCGGTGCTCCCAGCACTTCCTCTCTGGGGACTAAAAATGCCAACATCCTGAACTGTCTGTCCTGACAGCCCTTCCGCTTGCATCTTTCAATGCTCACCCCTCCTGGGAGTTCCCTCATCATTGTGGAGTGTGTTCCCAGTGGAGGCCATGTTCAAAGGATTCCATCTGCAGGCTGCATGTTGAACCCTGCATAAACTCAAACCACACCGCAGGCCACAAACAAATAGTCTGCGGACCACATGTGGCGTAGCCTTGCTCTGGGTGATACAATTTTTAAGAGAATTTTGTGACCACTAAGAAGGATCAAGAAATAGTTCAGGAGGCCATAAGAAGCTTAGAATTATGGTTAGACAAAGTGAGATTCAGGTTGAAAATGCAAGATTATAGCTGAGGAGAAATAATAGAAAATACGGAAACTAACTGGGAAAGAAAAACTTAAGCAGCATTGATGCCCAAAGAAATCTACAGTAGGAATGATGGTGACTCTCTCTTATTTCAACCTTAAGAGTTCTAAAATCACACTTTTAATAACAATGAGATTCTTGAATTTCATGCCAACCAAACAACTGTGTATTTTTCAGCATCTTCTCATTTAAACTTTAGAGAAACTGTCCACTCCTAATTTTTCTGCAATCATTTTAGTTTAAATATTCAGATCTTAAAATCACACACAAAGCTTCCCTCTGGAGCAGCTCACAGGGGTACTCCACATGTCTTCTGCCCATCTTCTGAGGTGAGGAACAAAATATTCCTCTTTATCTCTCTTCCTTGTCATCCTCCTGACTCTCTCAACATCATCCCAGATTCTATGCCATAGTCAGCAGTGCATACCTCTCTCTTCCTTCTAGCCCCAACTTGTCTTGCCAAGTGTCCTGCCCTATCTGTCTCTTGCTCTCTCCCCCAGGACATTCTCCATCCTTTACGTTATATTTCTATTTTCATTCTTTGTCTTTTGATCTCTGCATTTCCACATACTGCTCTTTTCATAATCCCCTTTGTTGCATTGGGAAAACTGGGTCCTGGCAGTATTTTTTTTTTATTTTGGTCAAAATAATGAGACCCCTTTTAGCACTTAAAAGGGGAAAAGGCAATGAAAACAACAACAAACCCTTTTCAATTGTGAGATGTGAAAACATTGGAACACCTGGCAAATCTGTAGACATGAGTTTGCAATATGATATGGTAGTAATAAAGTCAATGCTATTTCAGGCTGCACAGTCATGGAGCAGGGAAGTAACTGTTTCTCTTTACGCAGATCTATTGCAACTACACCTGGAAACTTCATTTACTTCGGCATACCCTGTTGTTACTTCAGAATGACAAACCGTCAGGAGCTCAGAATGCAGCTCTCAAAGTCTTCAGGGATGGTGAGATTGATTTATGAGTAGACATGACTAGTCTGGCTACTTAATGTTAAAGAGTGAAATATTTCTAAAGTGCAATTGCTAAGGAGGGAGAGGAATTATTTAGGGTGGTATGAGAGGATAACAGTTAGCTAGGAATGAATAGGATGACATTTAAGAAAAATGAGGTAAAGCTTTAACTATGAGGTAAAGCTTGTGTAACCCACACACACCTGCTGGGTGTGGTTCCCTGTCCTACATAGTAATCAGTTACAGAGAAAGAAAGAGTGAATTTCCTTTTTAGCCTTAGCTGAGAGCCAGCTGGCATTTAGCTCAGCAATAAAGGCTCATGCACTAAACTCCAGAAGTCTTAGGTTCAATTTTGCCTGTCTGTATGTATACTATGAGATATGTATTAGGCTTTAGCATAGGTTCCTAAGGGTTTAATGCATGTCACATCACTTAATATAACTAGACTGGATAATATATTAGAAAATATAGGAAATGATTCTGCATTGGCATGGAGGCAGATAAGTAGGCTCCATTCCCACACTGATTTCAACTGGGCCTCTGTTGACTAAAGTTAAGGATACACACACACAAGTTCCCATCCTAAAGCATTGCTATTGCAACCTTTGAAACGAAGATTTGTCGTACAAATAAATTTAGGGGCACAGTGAAATCTCAGTTCTCATCAGGGTAAACCTGTAGTATGTGGAATAATTTTGGATTTACATCAATAAATCAGATCAGAATCTCCTCTATCAGCACTAAAAATGTTCTATTTATAAATTTAACAGGGCTTTTATATTAGCAGGGGTGAAATTGTTCAGAGGCGACCTACTGTGTTTTCCATGTGCATTAGTAATTTAAATGTGGTTCTTCTACATATGAGAATATATCACAACTTTATTTAATATTACAGGAAACCACAAATGATCATTTACTATAGACTGCTTTTAACCCACAGCTTCAAACTGTGCACCTTTATTTATAATAAAATATTCTACAATTTTCTGCTGCTCAGAGATAATTACACAGATGGTGATTTAAGTACAAAGTGCTTTGAATAATTAGTCTTTCCTTAATTTACTAAATGAAAGATATTAAACAATAGTTTATTCCTTCTGAAAGTAAAAAAAAAAAGCATTCTGCCTCCAATTATAATATTTATAATAGAGGCTAAAAGAAAAAGCATAAAGTGATTGCTGACCTGTAAGCCTTAACTGACAACAATATTCTGCAACTCTCAGAATGACATGGCTGTTGCTTTTTTCTAAGAGATTTCATGTTCATTACCATAATTAACAGCTCAGAGTACTGAATATAAAGGAAGAATTTACATTTTATAATGTATTTTTTTTCACTGAACCCTCTGGGTCTAGTAGATCAAGTTGTCAAATACCTCAGCAGGTAGAAGCTTTAGGAATTTACCTAAAATTTTCTAACCATATATTTAGTATAAATGAACGCATTGACATTACCTTAAGATTATGTTAAAATCATTCGCCTGTCTTATGGACAATTTGTTCTTAAAGGTAGATTGGATATGAGCAAACTATACCTCTAATAAAGAGTTTCTGCTTCATTTGGAACTTGCTATTAAAGAATTTGGATGACAAATTCTCATTGTCTAGGCCTGCTATATTTCCTTAGGTAAGAAATTCTATTAACCGAAAAAAATATATTAGTCGAAAAATTGAGGGACAAAAACGTGTAGGCTCATAAATCCATATTCAAGTATCTAAATAAGTAGACTTATTTTCAGATGTGCTGAGCATCTATGAATACATGCTGGAGTCAAATGCCCTTGCTGGGTCCTTAGCATTTTTGAAAATCAAGTCTTTATTTGGGAACCTATTCTTTAGATGCCTATTTCTGAACATTTTAACCTTGGAACTTAACTTGTCATCTATTTTGATTATATTTGATTAGATTATTATTAATTAAAATTATATTAATCTTCTGAACTTGAAGCCTTCCCATGCTGTCAAACATTGCTTGTGGCATGAACAAAGCTCCACCTTCTTCCCTATCTTGAGATGCTTTTTTTACTTCTGGTATGTTAAATATTAAGTCTATATTGTTCAGAGGAATTCTTTCAGTTGACCACTTTTACATTTGTCTCCAAGTGCCCACCAGTGGCACACCTTTCATGACAGATGCTCTAGCTTTATTCTTAACACATGATCCTACCATTTTAATCTTCTTTTCTTGATAGATTTGGAGATAAAGAATTGAATTTTCTAACACATGTTGGTATTAGTTATAGATTAATTTCATTTAACATTTAGTGTTTTCCCAAGGTGTTTGCTTTCAGAGCTTTGTCTGCACCACTGGTAGATTTCAAGATTTATCATTTATATCTCAAAAGGGAAATAACATTTAAGTTGCAAATTCACAGTGACCCTATGCTATGTCTTTAAATTGTCTATGAAAAAATCTTGTTTAAGATGAATTTATATGCCCACGTGCCAATTTACAACATTATTTCCTTCTTGACTTCCACATTACCTTGGCAATAGCATGCAAGTCACGTGAATTGATTTCTCTATTTTATACCCCGGCCTTCCATGTAATGCTTGATCTAGTAGTTGATGGTATTCTTATATCTGTCATTTTTATCACTGCTTATCTTTTTTACCGTTCTGGACAATCGTTCAGTCTTTGTCTCTATACTTGTTGAGCTGTTGTTTTAAAAAAGTAAGGTCATCAATCTAAATCTTCATTTTGACCAACAGGAAAGCAGTAAATTTCCTGTCTACTCTCAAAATCATATATTTACTCCTTTGCTTCCACCAAATCTACTGAAGATTAAAAGTTGTCCAGTTTGAACATCTGGGCATGGCCATTGCCATTCAATAACTGTTTTCCGAAGTTCCATAGATACCTAATACAGAGTAATACCTCTCTCTAGAAGGAGAGCACATATTAAAGTTAGCCTCAGAGCCCAGAGTCAAAAGGAAAAAAACTATGAATGCATGTTTGAGAAATTAAATATAATATTTTCTTTTACAGCACAGATTTTATAGATTCATTAATTTTAGTAGCAGTAATTGTAATCACATGCAAGCTTCATTCAAGAACTAGATCCCCCTTGTGCTTGGCACTGCTCACATATGGAACAGAAAGGTGGTCCATGTTTGCTAGGGTGGCTTCTGCAACATTTAAAACTAGACATGTAATAAACTGTGTCTACACTGGGCCACTTATTCCGGAAAATCAGCCGCTTTTCCGGAATAAGCTGCGAGCTGTCTACACTGGCCCTTGAATTTCCGGAAAAGCAACGATGCTCTACTGTACAAAATCAGCCGCTGTTCTGGAAAAACTATTCTGCTCCCGCTCGGGCATAAGTCCTTATTCCGGAACACTGTTCCGGAAAAGGGCCAGTGTAGACAGCCCAGTAGTCTTTTCCAGAAAAAAGCCCCGATCGCGAAAATGACGATCGGGGCTCTTTTCCGGAAAAGCGCGTCTACATTGGCCACAGACGCTTTTCCGGAAAAAGGGCTTTTCCGGAAAAGCAGCCCGCCAATGTAGACACTCCTTTTCCGGAAAAACTGAAAACGGAATAGTATTCCGTTTTAAGCAGTTCCGGAAATTCATGCCAGTGTAGTCACAGCCTTGCTGTGTCACTGAAGTCAATGGACCCTTCCCATTTACTTCAGTGTGACCAGAATTTCATCCTTTTTGTTTTACTCTTATTTTTCCTCTCTTCATAAATTTATTCTGAATGAGACTATTAGATCAGAGAATGTTTTGAGGAAAAATCACATGGCATGATCTTTCTGAGAATTTTCAGTAGTCCAACTAAGGAGGTAAAATTACTAATACTGGTTGTGGGGCTCGTTGTTTCTTTTTCATTTGTTTATTTTTGCATTTGAAAATGTAAATACACCAACACAGAAAATTTCTGCAGAAATGTAATTGTTTCAACAAAATATTCTGATCCAGTATATAATTTCTGGTCAGAATATGAGCACGAGAGGAAACCTCTTGCTTTCAATATTCAAAAACCTAGAGAGGTCATTCACCCAGAGTATGAGAATACACAGGCTATGTCTACACTACACTAATGTATCGGAAAAAGGTATGCAAATCACATCCCGCAATTTGCGTACCTTTTTTCTGATAGCTTTCTGGAAAGAGGCTATTCCGAAATTTGGCCCATCTACAGAGGGCCAAATTTTGGAAAAGCCTCCTCCTTTTGGAAGAGCCTTTCTTCCTCATGGGAGGAAGAAGACAGAGATTCTGAAAGAGCGTGTCTGCTTTTCCACAAAAAAAAGCAGAAGAGTAGACATGTCCCCTGAATGTGGCAGAGTTTTATAGGATACCTCTGGTATCCCAGAAAAACCCCATAGTGTAGACATAGCCTCAGATGTTCTCTTTCTTCTCCACTCCACTTCCTTACTTCCAGTTGTTCGCAAACTGAGCATATTTTGCAGAGAGCCCTACAAATTGTTTTCCTCCTCATTTTCTTTTTACAGGTCTACTTTGAGACTTTTTGGTCAAAAACAAGTTAATTAATCTGACAGTCTACTTGAGCCTTTTGAGCTCAAGCTCATCAACATTTTTATTTTTAAAAATAAAATTTATTTGATATTTTCAATTATTTTTATACATTTTAATAAGATTATACACTTCCCTTGTGATGTTTTGAGTTTTAAAAAGGAAAAATTGGTATTAAAATAATTTGTTGTACTAGAAAAAAAATCTTAGTCACAACTTTTAAAGTAAAAATCTTATTCCCAAATGGAGAAAGAGAAAAAAAGTAAATGTCTGAGAGTTCAGTCCCTCCACCCCCATTGAAATGAAACATTATAGTAGAAATAAATATCAAACAAATAAAAATTGTGAAAAAATCAAGCAAAATTATAAGAAATTATCTATATTTTCATAAGACATACTTACTTTTCCCCAAAGGGCTCTAATTTATCTACTTATCCTCAAAACCTATGTTTATAGAAAAGCTGGTATCAGAGAATGTATGTTTTTAAGGGTTTGTCTACTTCTGAAATGCTGCAAGA